TGCTAGTGCATTATGCAATGGCAGATCTGGGCTGGTGCAGTTTGCAGTTAAACTTTTATAAGCAAATACAGATAGTACATATTGCAACAGTGTTTCAATGAAGACCACAATTATTCTTTCAGGAAATGCAGACAGATTTTCCAGATATTTGCCAATGGCAGCCATATGGTCATTTGATCAGCATACTTTAAACAAAGGAACAGCATTGCAATAAAGTGTCAGTGTAATGATCTCTTCTTGACAAGTTGGTGCAAGATTTTTACAATAGCCACACTTGTTGATATTTTGGGAGGTCACATCTACATTATTTTTAATTAGGACCAGTTACACATTATAAGGATTCTTTACCATTTGTACTTTCTTATAAGACCAGTCAAACAGCAAACAACAAAAATCCAAATCTGCCATAGCATAATGCAGATCAGGGTCTGTGTTGTTTGTTCTACTGATTACTCCTAACAAATTGCACAGACCCAGATTTGCCATTGTATTGTGTGATGGCAGATATGGGACTGTGCAGTTTGCAGTTGGTCTCATATTATAAGTACAGATGGTAAGTGACAACCCTATTTCATTATATTTATTTATTCAAGAAAATTAGTGATTGCAAGATTTTTTTATATGGCCACAATGGCTGTCATATTGAGGTCTGATGGGCACAACATTTTCATTTAGGACCAACTTGGTATTACAATAAATGTTTTGTGGAAGCCCAATGTGTACAAGTTCTGAGGTGGTAGCAATGACATTTTTTTAATATATTTGGCACCATTTTGCATTAGAACCAACTAGACGTCATTGGAAGTCTTTTAATAACAACCTCATGGTGATAATGGTCATCTGTTTTCAAGATGGCTACTCTGGAGGCCATACTGGATGTTCTACATAGTTTCATTTAGGACCAACTAGACCTTGGGATGAATATTTCAAAGTTTCCTCACATTGTCTCTATTTCATATGCAGCAGTGTTAGCAAACTTGTAATCATGTATGGTTGATGAATGTCAACAGTCCCATCTTGACTATTATTCTAATATGTTATACCATTTGTACTCACTTACAAGTTGTGTCCAACTGCAAACTGCACAGACCCAGATGTGTTGTTGCATAATACAGATCTGGATCTGTTCAGTTTGTTAGGAGTGATCAATAGAACAAACAACATAGACCCTGATCACTACACCCTGATCTGCAGGTGCATTATGCTATAGCAAATCAAAATCTTTGTAGCTTGCAGTTTGCCTTAACTTATAAGCAAGTATATACTGAAGCTAAATGCAAGAGCAGATGCCCAATAAATCTGGTAGAACACTTTTGTAAAAATGTATTCCAATGTTCTTGACTGCATATGTTATGAAGGGATTGCATGTTTTATCTTTATCCGTATTTGATGGCATGTTAGCATCATTCATCCAGTACTTAAAGGCTGTCATGCTAGAATTGCTTTCCATCAAATTTTTTTTTAAAATTCTATTTAGTGATCTTGTGATATAAGTCATATAAAATGTTTTTGTATCTGTTGCAACAACAGTCATTATTGATAGCAGATATAAATTTGAAATTCATTTTTACCATGATCTTGCTGTCAAATTTGGTTAACTTCGGCTGGGTAACTAGCTGTCATTTAAAGATTATCTATTTTTTGTTATGGTGGCTTTATTTCATTGTGAATTAGCATTTGTACAAACTTCAAAGTCTTTTATGCTTACTATCAAAACTGGTCAAATTCTTCTTCACCATTTTTTAAGGTAAATCAATAAAAGGTTTTTCTTTTTTTAGTAGCAGTTGCCATAGTTAATGGTGGATCTGCATTATTTGCATACACTCTGAAAACCCTTCATGCCAGAATGTTTTGTGTCAAATTATGTTCAGTTCAGTGAAGTAATTTGGGAGAAATCATTCCAAGATTTTAGTATTTTTGTAACAGTTGCCATATTTGGCCAAACTCTAACAGAGAGAAACACTGTATTTGAGAGAATAGGTTTAGGATAGGATTATTACTGCATGCATGGTAACCTATGATCCCCATGCTTATCCATAAATACCAGGATTTATGTCTGGGTGTTATGTCTCAGTATAGCTAAATCAAAGGTATTATTATCACCACATTGACTGCCATGAAGACAAATTATAGCAGGAACATACAAGTTTGCCCTTCTCTATCACAAAACAAGGTATACTTCAGTAGGGTGTTGGTAGACTGGACTTCAAACTATTCTAGTCTGGGATTCTATGGGATGCAAGGTTAGCAGGACACCAGTTTGCTGTATGGGAGAATGTAACTATGATGTCCTTTAAAAACTAAAATATCTACCCAAATGTAAACAGAAGAAAGAATGTGAAGACCTCACAATGGTTTATATTATTTTCATTACATGTTTGAATATTTTGCAGAGAAATGATTGATATATCCTATTAAACAAAAAAAAAGCCTGTATTGTCTGAAATGTATTTTTATTTGCTTATGATTATTTTTCAGTTTTACAAATAATGCAAGGTAAAAAAATTGAAAATTATTAACTTAGGTCTCTAAAATTTGCAAATTTAATTTCGAAAATAAATTTCTGCATAACACATTAAAGAACCAACAAATTATTATAATTTTACAAGTTAAAAAAGTATCTAAAACTAGAAAATACAAACAATTACAGACAATATAATATTAGTATGCAAGTTTCTTTAATACAAAAACCAAGGAACATGGGGACTTGTTGCATTTAAGCAATATATATATATATATATATATATATATATATATATATATATATATATATATATATATATATATATATATATATATATATATATATATATATATATATATATATATATATATATATATATATATATATCCATCCCATTGGACCACTCCCTTCACCCTGCTTGTTGCTGCAGCTGCATTCAAGATTTGATTTTTGTCTTCTAATAATTGGTCTTGAACATCAAACCAAACATGATCATGCTTCCTTGCTTGAAGGTAGAGAGATGAATGAAATGTGACCTATAATCCCCTCCCCCCCCCATTGTTGTCATCTAACTTAATCTCCTGAAACATTACACAAAGTGTGATAACTCTCCCTCATTTGGTGTAAATGGAGTTATGAGGATGATATAATGATGGATGGACAGGTGAATGGACACATTAGTTGGACTGATGGACAGTTGCCTGGATGGATGGACAGGTGAATGGACACATTAGTTGGACTGATGGACAGATGCCTGGATGGGTGGACAGGTGAATGGACACATTAGTTGGACTGATGGACAGTTGCCTGGATGGGTGAACAGGTGAATGGACACATTAGTTGGACTGATGGACAGTTGCCTGGATGGATGGACAGGTGAATGGACACATTAGTTGGACTGATGGACAGTTGCCTGGATGGATGGACAGGTGAATGGACACATTAGTTGGACTGATGGACAGTTGCCTGTATGGATGGACAGGTGAATGGACACATTAGTTGGACTGATGGACAGTTGCCTGTATGGATGGACAGGTGAATGGACACATTAGTTGGACTGATGGACAGTTGTCTGGATGGGTGAACAGGTGAATGGACACATTAGTTGGACTGATGGACAGTTGCCTGTATGGATGAACAGGTGAATGGACACATTAGTTGGACTGATGGACAGTTGCCTGTATGGATGGACAGGTGAATGGACACATTAGTTGGACTGATGGACAGTTGTCTGGATGGGTGAACAGGTGAATGGACACATTAGTTGGACAGTTGCCTGGATGGGTGGACAGGTGAATGGATACATTAGTTGGACTGATGAACAGTTGCCTGGATGGATGGACAGGAGAATGGACACATTAGTTGGACTGATGGACAGTTGTCTGGATGGGTGGACAGGTGAATAGACACATTAGTTGGACTGATGAACAGTTGCCTGGATGAATGGACAGGTGAATGGACACATTAGTTGGACTGATGGACAGTTGCCTGGATGGATGGTCAGGAGAATTGACCCATTAGTTGGACTGATGGACAGGTGAATGGATACATTAGTTGGACTGATGAACAGTTGCCTGGATGGGTGAATGGCCACAAAGCTGGACTCATTAACATGACCTATTATGCAAGGAATGAAAGAAATAATTAAAATATTTTGACATTTTAGCTTCTTCTATTTCAACTGGAAACATACAGCCATTATTGTCATGCATGTGCTGTTAACTCCTAATACATGTATACCAACATCCACTTGGCTACAACAATGGTGTGCCATACAGCACAACTGACAAACGTCACTTAGGAAGGCATTCAGTTGGAAACTATCAGATGTCTGAAAAGTCTCTGCTAGCAGTTTCTCACCCAAGCATTTTGAGGCAATGATTCATTTTTGAGAGGTGAAAACTACCTCCTCATCCCACAGGCAATTATTACTTCATGTGCCAAAATTCACATCTAACCATATCATACTAACATCAGTGACATGTGATATATGTCTCTGTTCACATACTTTCTTGAAAAATTTATCAACTTCATTATCAAAATATGGGTATATGAAATAAAATAATCTGTATGTCATTCAAAGCTGTGGATTGCATTATACTGCAAATTGAATCATTCTCTGTGCTGCAAATTGAATTCTTCTCTGTGCTGCAAATTGAATTCTTCTCTGTGCTGCAAATTGAATCCTTCTCTGCCTCTACAACATGTAATATTTTGCTACCTTGTCCATAGAACAAAAGAGTCTATGGGATGACCTGTTGTTTTTTTAGCACAATTTTGTTATTTTTCTGATTGCTAATCCTCATCAGATGTGTGTGTGATTTAGATTTTTAACATGGCTTTAACAATTTTTCAGTCTGCAGTGTGACAGTTTATAGTGATGTCTTGCACTGGGGTATCAAGCCATAGACATGTGGCATGATGTCCCACCCAATCATATTATCCAGACACTAGGACGACCAGTCCTAACATTAATCTCTTAATGCTGAATGTCAATTGAGGCAGCTGTTAATACCATTTCTGTAAGTCTTTAGTATGACTCGGCCAGGGTTTGAACATGCGACCTCCCGCATCCAAGATGGATGCTCTTACCACTAGGCCACTGGAGCGGTCCTCCTCATGAACTATTTGCATATTCATCCAATAGTCTAGTTGGTCCTAAATAAAATTAGTGCTGCTTACGCATCAATATGGCCACCATGAATGGACATCTTGAAAATCTTATTGCAACTCCTCCTGAATGGATAATCACGTTGATATGATGTCAAGTTGGTCCTTTAAAAAAATGCTGCTGATCTGACATCCAATATGGCTGCCATGAAAGCCATATTGAAAATCTTATCATGATTTCTCTAAAATGGGTAGCCATATCAAAATGGGGATTTCTCTGATGATGTCTAGTTCATTATACATTATCATAAAAAAAATGAAGATTTGACATCCAACATGGCCACAATCATGAAAATCTTATTGCTATTTCTCCTGAATGGATGGTCATATCAATATGGGGTGATGTTAGGTTGGTAATAAATGAAAATTATACCAATTTTAAGTTCAATATGGACATAGTCATATTATTATTTTATATTAATATTATTTAATATTTGAAATATGGGTTCTGATTTATTGTATGATAAAGAAAACCTTAGATTATTGTTTCTTACATAACACAACACAACATTTTGTTAAATAGTGTTTTTTATGCCTGGAATACTTGCAAAACTTACTAATTTTTGGCTCATTGCATACATTTCTTTGGAAACAAGAACTCAGAAGTAACATGCCTATTTTTAAAACAGATTACTGATTTTTGTCACAGCCTGTGGGAACCAGTGTGAGATGGCAGATTTGTAGCTTGGATAGGGTTTTCCAGCTCAGCACCAAAATGTGCTTTTGTTTCATTAAAGGTTCATTAGATCTGCAGTAATCATTACCCTTGCTTCATGAGGGGCCTTTAGTTTATGATGCTAATTATAACCGGGCAATTGCTTTTACAGATACTATAGAAAGCAGTAAAACATTCCTATAATCAAAGAGAAATATTACCCTTTGAACATGAAAGCATCATTAATCACCAGCTAGTGCTACCAAATCAAGTTCCATAGTTTAAATTTTATCATAATTCTCCCATTAATGTTCAGCCCATGTTTGATAATAAGACAATGCATCACTTTGGGCAAACATTTGCCAGACTCTGGCTTCAGTGATTTATTTTTAAAAAAAATGACATATATACTTGCTTATAAGATAAGTCAAACTACAAATGGCAAAGACCCAGATCTGCCAGAGCATAATGTGATGGCAGATCAGGCTCCTTGTTGTTTGCAGTTTGACTCAACTTATAAGTGAGTATATACGGTACTTTTGTACTGTAATGTGTTCAGAGGTTATATGTGTCAATACAACCTGATGACTTTTCTCAATCTATCAATACAAATCTCAAAATCTTTAAAATATCCGGAAAAAAAAATGCAACAAGTATTAAAATTCTGCACAGCTTTTTCAGATCTCAATTTACTCACTAATGAAGCCATGCTATGTCACTGAAAATCAGTTGCTGGTTAACATTCCAAACTCAAGTGAAAAATGTCCAGGATAGCTGATGTCCTAAAATTTCAAAGGATTGATTTATTCTGAAACTGAAGGGCAATGCCAGGTGTGTTCAAATACAGAAAAAAATTATGAAACCGTATGCCATTGACAAGATTGTTGAAGCACAGAAATGTTTTTGAAGCTTTTGAGTCATTACAAGTGTGTTCAAGTACAGAAAGAATTTAGATACAGATTTTTATTTCCTGGCCTGAAAATATTGTGTGATTTGTGATGTGATGTGATTATGAATTTTAATGTAGCTTAAATAATTTTTCAGTCATATCGCTATGATGTCTGCAGTGTGGCAGTTTCTAGTGATGTCTAGCACTTGGGCATCATGCCACACACATGTAGCATGATGTCCCAGCCAGTCACATTATCCTGACACCAGGCTGACCAGTCCTAATATTAGCCTCTTAATGCTGAGCGTCAATTGTCAATCGAGGCAGCAGTTAGTACCATTTTTGTAAGTCTTTGGTATGACTTGACTCAAACTCATGACCTCCCGCATACTTGGCAGATGCTTTAACCACTTCTTTACAAGCTATCATTGTTGTTGCACTTTTTGCCATATAATAGACATGTTTTTCTTAAAGTGTTTACAGATTTGCTTTGAAATCATATGTCAAATGCAGTTTTAAAAAAAAATGTATAAAGCAGGTGTGAAAGACTTCAATTCATAGGAATTTAAAACCAAAACTTAAGGTATTTTTTTGTATTGCTCCAACTGAAAAAAAAGAAAATCCTACTTATTCAAACGTCATAGAATGTACAAATTCCTTTATTCACTAGTTATATATCAACTTGTTTCCATGCAATACTAATCATAGCAAACATTTACTCAGATTTGCTGCAGTCTATTAATGGCAGTATCACTTTCAAAAATATACATGCATAGTAACATAATTCACACGTGATTAATATTAATTTAGCTGGGTCTTTTTACTTCAAAATAAAGACTGTCATCATCAGTGACACAAATCCCAGACTCTTGTCAAAAGATAAATCCCAAAGAATGTCGTAAATCCAGATCCCATTTATATTAAACAAATTCAACAATTCCTATGTTGTGAATTCAACAACTTTATCTGTAGATGTAATTATTTCTCCAGATGTAAAGATGACAACATTATTAACATTTATAACAGAAATAAGAACCCTCTAAAAGTTGTAAATAATACGTTAAACAGGGCTAAGAAATGAGCTATGCATGAGAATGGTCAAAAGATAATAATAATAATATTAATAATAATAATAATAATAATAATAATAATAATAATAATAATAATAATAATAATAATAATAATAATAATAAAATTTTATTCAGAGAAGGTAAGCAAATAGGATAGAAATTATAGCACTACAAGCAGTGTAAATGTATATTTAGAAATACTTATGTCTCCTTGAGAACCCAAAATAGTCACTGCGATCCTGTTATTGCTACAGTTATGAATTTAGAAATTTCAGGAAAAGGTATCGATATAAGTCATATAAATATTCAAGGGAAACGGATCAATTGAAACTGGTGTAGAAGCTGTCAAACTGTAGTAGCTGATGTGTGGGTGGGTGGCAGCTACTTTGGGGAATTAGCTGGTAGAGCAAATAACAAATGTCTGGGATTTCATTAATGGTTACTTTTCACTGTCTCAAAATTCCCACCTCCTCATTCAATTTCAAAAATTCAGTATATATCTTAGTCCTAGCAGATTTCACAGGAGACTACTGATATCATATTTCTATAACTGGCTTGATTGTTACTGGTACACAGAATCTGTGTTTCCTACATTAAACTAAACATTTTATATCTCACTAATGAGTTGTCCAGAAGTTGATTTAAAAACTTAAATGATTATAATATATTTGATCAGACTCACAATTCACACTCACTTTTAACCTCTCCCTCAAAAAAATATAAATCTTAAATAAATGAAGTTTATAGGAAAGGGTTGACAAAGATTGTCAGAATTCAATTATAAAATATCTATTTTTTTTAAAAAACAATATACAAATTATTCTTGCAAATTAGATAAACTTAATCTACTATCTTGTCTCTAAAATCTTCAAGATTTTCAAAATCTAAAACTAATTATAAGTCTTGTAAATAATCATTTAATTAATTTGCATAAACAAAAATGTCTGTTCTTACTAGGTAGAGCATGGAGCTAGACCAAAAGATTAATGTTCCTAAGGCCATGGAATGAGCTTGCTGTAAAGATTTGGCTTGTATTGTTTTTAGACTGCAGAAGCAGAACATTTCTTAAAAAGTGGATTCTATGCAACATGTATATGTACAAGACCAGAAAAATGGAAAACAGTTGAATCATATCAAATGTCCCCACTACATTTGTGCCAAAACACAAATATAAATTTCACAACAGATGGTGAGATGTTTTCTATCTATTAAGTCACTTTAGGCAATTATGCCATGCAGATATCAAATTTGCAACCAATTTCACCTATCATGTCAGGTCTTTTCACAAAAAATAAGTCAGATACATTTATATACATGTTATCTTCTCCAGACAACAATGTACATTTGCTTGACATATCAGAAACAAAACTGAATGAATGTCAAACCCATAATTTTCTCTGCATTGATGGATATGACATCCCTGTTCACAGAGACAGGAAGGAAGGAGGTGGAGGACTCCTAGCATATGTCAAAAATGGTACAGTTTGCAAAAGAAAAATGGTTCTTGAATCTGAAAAAGTTGAATCAATATGGATTCAGATCACTCCAGAAAAAGACAAATCCTGTGTAGAAGGATTCATATGTAGACATCCATCCTCAAATGTTTACTGGAATGAAAATTTATATTGAATTTCAAATATAGAAAATTATAAATGAAGAGAAAGAATTTTACGTATTAGGTAATGTAAATAAAGACCTAATAAATGAACAAATAAAGAAACATTGATTGGATTTTGTTTAACATTTAGGGATTTCACAATTAGTCAATGAACCCACTAGAGCAACATCCAATTCAAAAGCACTTATAGACCATAATACACAAATACTAAAGAAAACGTTTCCAGAATTTCTGTCCAAAAAATGGTTTAAGTGATCATTTTGCACATTTTCTCAAAACAAATAATAACAATGGTGGGGGTGGGTGAGGAAAGAATGTTCATAAGTCTATCATATACAGGTCTTTTAAAGCTTTCAATGGCAAAATTTTCTTCAAGGATTTAGACCAGATACAAAATTTTTGATGATACTGATGATATTTTCAGCACTTGGTCTGATCGTGTTTTTGTAAACTGTCAATAAACATGCACCTTGGAAGACACATACAGTTAAGTTTGATCACTGACCTGGCTGGGTCTCCACAGAAATTTTAGATACTATGAAGATATGAGACCACTTAAAAATTTGTAGGTAAAGAAGATGAACACAAAATCTGTAGAAAAAAAGAAAGCAAATCAATTATGCAAGCAAAGAGAAACCACTAACAAAAAGTTGTTGATGACTAAAACACCACAAAATATCTGGAAAATATTTTAGGTCATTGGAGCA